TTAACTCTTCCACCGTTACTAGTCTCTAGGGAAAAGACTCCTAATGGAACAATGCGTCTGGATCAAATCGGACTCAAAGGATCATGCTATTCATATCACCCATGCTCACAACACTGATACCTTTCCCAGTCGGAGGTGATAATTCGTAAAACTAATATAACATAAAAACGCTCCTGCTAAACAATTACATACTGAAAACATAACTCCTATTCATGGATCATTTAAGTTAGTGCTACACATATATAATATATAAGCATATGATCACATAAGCAAATTAGCACGTAGGTAATTAAATAGATAAGCAAGTAAACAAGTAAACATGATTCTTCAGATATCAAAACACGTAACAATTAATCTCATACGTAATGCAAATAACTTCCCATGCAATCCTACATAGGCCTCTACCCATCGTCCTAAGGTTTTCGAACCATGGCTCTGATACCATTATGTAACGACCCAAATACACTGGATCCGGATCATTAAACGGGTCCTTACCTGACCCAGAATCATCCGAGGGTAATACGGTACTTTCACGTTAAATTTAAACATTAACTTCTAAAAAGGGCAAGATGGTAATTTGCTACAATTCACATGGTTTGAGACCCAAAAGACATAAATGTCTTTTACTTGTATCACATAATAAATAAAATAAAGTCCCGGGCAACGTGATCTTTTCGGTGGTTAAAATATAATTATTGCATTTTATTGGGTCATAAAATAAATACTTGTAACATAAATTGGGTGCCAAAATGTAATTTGGGAAACTAAATAGAACTCATATGTGGAACGTGAACCGGTCGACGTATGCACATTATACGTCGATTGGTTTGGGTTATGAACAGTGGAAAACTGACTGCGGAGATACCGGTAGACGTATGGAATTTTTACGTCGACTGGTTTGGGGTCAGGATACCGGTTGACGTATTGGAAGCCGTACGTCGACTGGTTTGCATCGTGTGCAATAATGACCCACACTACCAAGATACCGGTCGACGTATGGGAAGCTATACATTGATCGGTTCTGGGTAATTCTCACTTCCACTTCCCACTGCCCACCACTACATCAAAAGTGGTCTAGAGACCACAATTCTGCCTTCTCATTTCTCTCTCCTGTAAGTTCCTCTCTCTCACTCTTGTTCTTGCTTTTTCTTTTTCATTTTACTTCAAATCTTTGAAGCTTGATTCCATCTTCAATTCTTGGAGTTTTGAGTGCCGTTTGAGGCAAAACGAAGAGCATGACGAGCTCTACGCATGTGTACCAAAAATTCCAGATTTGGTGCTCCCTTTAGCCTTCGAAAATTGTGACCCATTTAGGGTTTTGCATCACCATTTAAATATCACACCATCATATAAATTAAGATGCACCAAATGCAATTGGACCCGACCACAATCCCACATGCAAAACGTGAAAAGACAAAAATACCCTTACTTCAACGAAATTCCGAAAAAATGGAAAGTGCCAAAAATCGGAAACGTCACATATTATTATTATTTTGGTATCTTTTTGGGTCGTTACAGTACGTGTATCGTATCGTATTTGTATTTTGTATTAGTGTTCATGATTTCTAGGTTTTTAGCGTTCAAACTCATCACCCTTGCTTTCATTTTTTTTTGCCTTTAAGAAATTTAGGCATTGTAATGACCCAAACCAAGGGTCTAGATCGCTAATCAGTCCTTAATCAAACCCGAGGACACGCTAGGGGCAAAAGGTCATTTTTTAATATGAGAGGGTAATAAGATCTCAAAATAGTCAAATGAAGTCTAAAAAAATTATTCTAGTTATTCCGTGATACTCGGTGAGGTTCTATGGTCATCAATATGAATTCCCAAAAAAACCCTTACCCGGTTCAAAGGGAATTTTGACGCTATCCCACTAATGACCATAACTCTCAACATGAATGAATTTTAAGGTTAAGGTTGGTCTCATTGGGAAGCTAACTCAAAATCCTTGAAAATAGACTTAAGAATGTCCCTATTTGGGTTCGGAACGAAGAAGTTATGACTGTCCGAAATTAAAAGTTCCAAGTTGACAACTGAAGAAGACAAAATGGTGAACTGGGGGACTTGAACCAGTTCAGTGGGGCTGAATAGGTTCAAGATGGGTAGTGTGCCCATTCTCGAACCAAAATCCCCCCTTGAACCAGTTCAATGGGGCTGAACCGGTTCAAGATGACCAGAACCTCAAAAATGTCCCAAACAGCCTAAAATTGTGATCATGTGTACTCTAGCACTACTTTGGTCCCATGGTGACCTTACTCAAAGCCCAAACCTATCCCAAATCTTCCATATAATGATGAAACTAACATTGCTAAGTGGTACTAAAATCGAATAAGACCAAACACGAGTCCGATACATCATTAAAATTAAGCAAATCCGTCATACATAAAAAAAATATGGCCTTAAGGCCTTACATAGATATTGAAATCATAATGAGGCCACAAAATACAAAAAGAATGGTCTCGAGACCATTTCCAACCATGTGGAAGATACAAATTGATCCCTAATATTATTTATAACAAAAGGGCTGAAATACACATTAAATACAAAAGTGTCTAAGTTCGTCAGCCCGACTAAACTGGTGGTGGATTGTCATCTGCCACTTCCTTGCTCTGACCAGGAAAAATATTAATAGTAAAGGGGTGAGCAAATTACTCAGTAGGAGGTGCCTAAGACACACTTCTTATAATCCCGTGAATCCAAACAATGAATAGAACAATAAGGAACATGATCATGCTACGTCGGGAGAAATACAATATCAATTTTAAGTCCAAATGAATAAGATGGTGCTATGAAATGCAATGCCGTGCTATGTCGCTCCCCATTTTCAAAACCATCCATCACTTTTCAAACCGTTAATACAACCCATCATTTGGTGACTCCTCGGTGACACGAGAGAAGGATTGGCTACTGTCCCTGACCTTTGGTACCTTCGCGGCATCATTTGGGCCCAGTAAGCTCAACCACGCTAGGGTGTTCTCCCTAGTTCTCTCTAGATCATATTAACGCCATGGACCCTTGGTAGCTCCGCGTCGCCCAGATTTTTTACGAAATCACTTTAATAAAAACTTTACCCCAAAACCCCTTTTCATTCATTTCAAATCACTTTGCCCTTTTTTATGCCCAATGCCATGCATGAATACACCATGCTTCTCAAATGATATGATAAGAGGGAATTTCTAAAACAATACAAGTTAACATCCACCATACACAAAACTTAGAGGAAATTTAAAAAGGGCAAGTAATCCACATGCTTCATATTACAAAATCGAACAAATTAACACAATAAGCATAGAATTTCAAGCATGCTTTCCCATACAACCTCAATTAACATACATAATCATATACTCTATATACACAATTAAGTCATTCTAAAGTAAAATCAATGCAATTAAGCATGCTAGGCAACAATAACAAGGAATTAACTCACAAAGGTACAAGAATACATGGATTAGGGACCCCTACCTCAAAAGGAAGCAAAATCCCCAAAAATTGCCCAATCCAAACCGTAATTTTTTAAATTCTAAGGTGCACCAAATGGAACTTGGCTCCGATTAAATCGAAGATCTCGATGCGCTCTCTAACTTGCCGCAAACGCATTAAAAATCTCAAAAAGGTGAGAGAGAAATTGTAGTTTGAAGTTTGCTCAAAAGAAAAAGAAAAGGTGAGAAAGAGAATGAGGGAGAGAGCAACAGGAGAGAGAGAAGAAATGTGAGGCCAAAATGGCCTCTTGGCCATTAAAAGTTGTAACAATTGGTGGTGGGTCCCACCAATGAAAAAAAATCTTTTTAAATTTAATTTTGCCACCACAAAATGCATATGCACTAATATATATATATATATATATATATATCATAGCCACCAATTAACAATTAAACAATTAACTTATACATAAAATTAATCATGCATGGTATGTAATTGACCCGTGACACAACTCTCGTACACAAAAATCCTGATAGCGGCTCCCACCCGGGACCGTCTGACCTGAAAAAAGGAAAAATGCCGAAATGACAACCCTTACATTTCCAAGAGTTCTAACTCAAGAAATGTCCCAACCGACTCTCGGCACACTCCACGGTGTCTGGCACACAAAACAAGGAAAGACGAAAATACCCTTGAAAAATCAGAAAATTCCATAAAATGAAAAATGGCGAAAATCGGAAACATTACAGGCATCCATTTGTTTCTACCTTGACTCAACTCTCACCATCCACGTTGAAAACTTTGGAAGATCAATGAATAATTTTCACTCTCTCTATCATCCGTCTCTCATCAACATCATAATTGTTGAAAACAAAACCCTAGCTATCATTATTTTTTAAAATTTCTCATAAATTAATTTAATTTAATTTTTTTAAAGAGTTTTCAATTTGATTTTGCTATGGTAGTTGAACAATTTTCCGATCCGTCACTGATTTGATCACTGATTTGAGGAAAGCACCCTCTTCTTCAGCAGAGGTAGAAGCTACATTCGGTAAAGAGAACAAAATAACAAACAGGACTAGGAAAACAAAGGTATACATGTCAAATCAGGACTAAGGTTAGAAATCCCATGTTAGAAATGCCATGATATTGTTTGATGTGTTGCAACTGATAGTTTAAAGCTCTAATTTGTAATACTATTATTGTACAGGTTCCGTATAAAAAAATTAGTTTAACTGACTAAACCATAAAAAGTTCAATGGAATTGAGATTGAAGCATTACTTGTGGTCATGATTTGATGTTGAGTTAGCCATTCTATCGAATCTTTTATTTTATTTTTCCTTTCTTAAAGTTTTTCTTCTTTTTAGTCGTCCAGCATCTGAATCTCAATCCTGAAATAGAAGTGTCTTCCACTATCAACTACACGTGATGCATATAAAACTAGCATTTTTTTGGTCCTACTGTCATCAATCTAAACAAAACATGGAGACTCATATATCTCATCTTGAAACAACCCTTAATTCATTGATATGAGAGGAGAAAATGTAGAAATCTTAGAAACACAAATGGGAAGTCAAAATTACATGAAATCAAACAGTTGTCCTAATGTTATCATGTGGAACACCTCTGGTAAAGGCAGCTTTTGAGCTGATAACTGTTGAGAAACTTGTTGCATGGTTGGCCGAGATTGTGGACTGGATAGCAGGCATCCAAGAGCTAGCTTCATCATAAACACCACATCCTCTGCAACTTCATTGATCGGCTGTGAGAGACGCTGGTCCAATACATCTTTCAGCAGTGTATGACCGGCAGTTGATGATGACGTCGATGTTGATAAAAATGTGACGAAATCTCCAGGATGGCTTCCAAGAAGTGCTTCCATTGTCACCACTCCAAAGCTATACACGTCACATTTTTCATTGACTTCCATTGTGGAAGCAAGCTCTGCAAAAATTTTGTCCAGAAAAAGAAGCTAATCTTAGCAATAGAAAATAAGTTTTTAAAGCTTTTTTAAAAGACCAATTACCTGGAGCAGTGTATCCAATGGTGCCTGCAAATGAGGTCCAGTTGGATGAGTCAGGGTTCAAAAGTCTAGCTGTGCCAAAATCAGAGAGGATTGCCTCATGCTCTGAATCTAACAAAACATTCTTGCTGGATATGTCTCGATGAATTATTGGAGGTGAGCAGTCATGGTGCAAGTAAGATAAAGCATTAACCAAACCTTTGATAGCATTTACCCTCTTACTCCATCCAAACTTCATCGCTGCTTGATCATCGGTTAGTATACTTTCCAAGCTTCCCCTTTCCATGAACTCATAAACCAAAAGAGCGTGTCGCGTATGCAAACAGAAACCTAGGAGCCTCACAATGTTGCGATGTCGTACTTCTGTTAGTGCTTGAATTTCGCAAGTAAAAGTTTTCAAACTGGCCATCCTGTCATCATCCTCTACTGCTCGAAGTTTCTTCACAGCAACAACTTGACCGTTTTGCAGCTCAGCTCTGTATACACTTCCAAAGGCACCCTCTCCAATGCAATATTTGGAGTTGAAGTTCTCTGTCGCTTCAATGATCTTCTCATATACCAGCTTTCCATCATAGTTCAATACTGCGAACAAATTATCATTCTGTGCATCTTCTGGCTCGGTTTTTCCTTTGTTCCTCACTCTCAGCCAAACGAAAGATAAAACACCAGCAATGATAAAAAGAAAAACCAAACTTCCCAAGAAAGAGACCGCTATCAAGATCAAGCGACCATTCTTACCTTTTGCCTTGTGGATCTTCATTGAGGGGCAGGACTTTAGACCAGTAATGTTACCACACAAGCCTTTATTATTTGTAAATGCTTCTGTAGGAGCATCACAAAAGGCTTTGTTGCTTGGAAGAGGGCCCTCCAACCGATTGTAGGATATATCAACAGATGTTAGGCTTAACATTTCGTTGAAAGTTTCCGGAATGGAACCAGAGAGCTCATTGTGGGAAAGATTCAATATTTCTAAGCGGCTCAATGTTCCGAGCTGTGGTGGTATTTCTCCCAAAAATAAATTCTGACTAAGGTCGAGATATTGAAGTGGGAACAAAGTACTGATCTCAAAGGGAATACTTCCCTCAAATCTATTAATGCTCAAATTCAAGTTTATCAGTCTAATGCAATTACTCAGTATTTCCTTGGGAACCAGACCACTCAGATTATTTTCAGCCAAGTCAAGATATTCCAAGTCAGAAAGCATTCCAATTTCTGATGGAACATTGCCTGAAAGTCTGTTATTGCTCAAAGTTAGATTGAATAATGAAGTCAACCAACCAAATTCCCTGGGAATCTCTCCTTCTATATGATTACATGAGAGGTCAAGTGTTTGAATTGACTCCCCAAACTTTGCTGGTATTCTACCAGAAATATTGTTGTGGGAGATTTTCAAGCTTCTTAAGCTTTGACACTTTCCCCAATTAGAAGTAAGTTCTCCATACAATTTATTATTACTCAAGTCAATGAAGTTCAAATTCGGATATATGCCAAAGTCTTCTGATATATTTCCAGTTAGTTGGTTGCTTTCAAACCTCACTCTAACCAAGCTAGTGCAGTTTTTCAGACTACTTGGAACAGGACCCACAAAATTGTTGTTATAAATGGTGAAGTTTTCAAGTATCCCCGAGAGGCATATATTTTGTGGCAGATACCCAGACAGCATGTTGTCACCTATATGCAACACATTCAAATAAGTCCAGTTATTTAATTCTTGTGGTATTGAACCAGTTAATTTGTTGCTGAACAATCTTAGAAGAGAGAGGGATTTCAGCTTTCCTATTTCTGCAGGAATGAAGCCAGATAACTGATTTTCTTGGAGGGTGAATTTGATGAGCTTTGTCAGGTTTCCTACATTGGAAGGAATTGGTCCAGAAAGTTGGTTTTGAGAGAGGTATAGTATGGTCAACTTTTCCAAGTTTCCAATGGAAGCAGGGATTACACCTCTAAGATTGTTCTGGTACAATGAGAGCTCAGTAAGCGAGCTCAAATTTCCTATTTCTTGTGGTATAGAACCCCTGATGAGGTTTCTGGAGAGGTAAAAGATTGTTAGACTTGCGAGTAGGCCCATTTCAGATGGAATTCTCCCAGAGATTTGATTTAAAGAAAGGCGAAGATAACGAAGTTTGGAGAGGTTTCTGATATGTGATGGAATGGTCCCATAGAGTGAATTATTAAAAAGGTCAAGACTGTGTAAGTTGGCAAAGGATGAAAAGTTGAGACTATGGAGGGAACCTTTCAAACCATAACTTGAAAGGTTTAAACTTGTGATGCTTCTTGACTTGCTGCAATTGATTCCGGCCCATTTGCAAGGGCTGCCTCCAACCCAAGAAGACAGGAGAGACTGGCTTTCATTGTCAAGGTTAGCTTTCCATGTTAGAAGAGCCTTTGCTTCCTTTTCTCCCACTGTTCTCTTTGGAGCACCCAGAGAATTAGTTACAGAAGCAGCAACATGAGAAGAAGAAACCAACACAAGGACATAGATAAATAAGAATAAAACACATAGGTTAGAGAGTACTTTTACTAAAAATCTTACCATGACTTTGCTTTAGATGAGCTTGGCTTCTCAAGTGGCAGTAAATTTGATGGTTGGGTGGGAGACCTTTAACAGCTTCACAAGGTATTTATAGATGGAACTGGCTGCCCCACTGCTTGGGAAAGCCATCTGTAATAGAAATTTTATTAAATTATTTCCTACCATCTTAGGGGAAATAGTCAAATAAACTTTTCAATGACTATTCTCATTTCATATGCAATTACATGGGAATAGACAACTAATACTACAATACTCTTGCTTACGAACGGTAATTTCTTATTCGATATATACAATTACATTGGAATAGACAACTAATACTACAATACTCTTGCTTATGCATGGTAAGTTGCCATTTTTGACTTTTGGGCCGTGGTCATGGTAATACTTTTTTTTTTTTTAAGTGACGGAGCAAGAAAATTGTTTGAATGGGGTGGCCTTGAACAAGAGAAAAAAAGAATTCAAACTACCATAATAAATATATATATATATTTTTTAACATTAGTTTGTATTTTTATTGAGTACAATGCAACTTGATTGAATTTTTTGAACCATAAAAAGAAAAGAAATGAATTTCATTATTATCAATATTTAAATACATGCGTACATTCATACATATAGAGTCTAGAGAGAGATTATCTGAGTATATGAGGACAATGAAAACTATAGTTCTTGGAAGAACTGAAAACTATAGTTCTTGGAAGAACTGATCGATCTTCACAATTGTGCGTGTGTTTGTGAGTGACAGAGAGAGAGAGAGGGAGAGATGGGGGCAGATAAAATTATAGGTGTGTAATATAAATAAAAAAAAAACTATATTACCGGTGAGTAATATAGTTGTACTTTTAGAATTTGTCATAATTTAGTTGGAGTGGGAGCAAGTAGTGACATTTTGTCATAATTTAGTTGAAGTACTTTTAGAATTTTAAGAAAATTATAGGTGTGTAATATAAATAAAAACTTTCCGTTGGGGCGGCAGCGCTATTTAGATCCATGGATGACAACCATATTGTGAAACAGGGTTTTTTTTTATTTGTATTAGGTGGTGTGTCAAAGGAAGATATAGAAACCATTGAGACAAATATTTTAATTTGTACTCGGTGGTGTGTGTTAAAGGTAGATATAGAAACCATTTAAGATCAACCAAATTCAAAATTGGATACAATATTGTGAATCAGTTTTGGGCACTGCTGGTCATTTTCAAACATAATGGTCGCTAATAATTGTGAGTTGCACAGTGCGAAAGCTGTCAGTTACTCCAGTTTAATATTTGGTATTCCTAATGACATAGAAGGAAGTGAAAAGGTCTCTTGCTTAATTTTGTGATTGTTTAAACATCCACCAATCACTCATATAAACAATAAAGTAAAATAATTTAAGTTTGAGAGATCACACCGTGATTTTTAGTATTGAAACCCTTCAGGGAGAAAACCACGAAACCTAGCCGTCTTTGGCGAAATGAATCCGCTAAGAGAAATAATAGACCTTACCTTCAAAACTTGAATCCCTGAAGTTCAATCTCGTGATGCTTCAATTGATATTGCAAGAAACTCCAAACCAAGTGCATAGGACGGCACTTATATATGTTTGGATGGCTAGAACTAGTGGCATTGTAATTTGGAGAATTGGGTTGTTTAAATTCTTCTGTTTTATCCAGATCAACCATGATTTTCCTTTTTGCTTTTCCAATAATCTTTCCAGAGGGGCTACGCACTTTGAGGGCTTTGCTAGAATGTTGAGTAGTGGTTTGCCCTTTGAAATACTAATTTCTCCATTAGAGGATTCTTCATCAGAAGAGGAGAGCTGGGGTTAAAATTCTTTTTTGACAATAGATGGTCCCTGCAAAAGGAAACATAAGCAAGGTCCAGGATATAAAAAATTAAGTCCAGCCATGTTGAAAATACTTGAGAATTTTTTCCTTTTCTCTTTGCTTTATACAAAGCATCTTCTTCTTCTTCTGGTAATTTTATATTTTCTTCTTCGAGTTCTTCTTCTTCTTCATCGTCACTTGAGGAAATACTTTCAACGCTTACATCACCACTTTCGGCCACTCCTTCAATTTTGTTGGACATTGCAGTAGTCTTTTCTCTACCTTCATCCTCCTCGCTCTCCTCGAGTATTTCTTCTTCCTCATCTAGAATTTATCAGATCAATTTTCAGTATATAGAAGACTGACAGATTTCAAAAAGGAAAAATGGAAAGTAAAAATTTGCAATAAATATATTTGTACTTGGAGATAGGGGCTTGAAGGAAGCTAATATGGAATCACAAACAGTCTTGTGATTTTTTGTCCGGGTGAAAGAAATATAAGTTGACCACCATACATCAAATTCATTGGTTAACCGAGGCTTGCTACTATGGCCTTGGAAGTTAAAAATTGCTCTTTTTGCTGCGTAAGCTTTGTCAATTGCTGCAAATTGCTCAGCATCGATAAGCCTTACTCATTGGTTAAAGAACCTATTATAGGACTTGTAAGGTGGCAAAGGAATCATTTGGGTAAAATCCATTTGCCTAGCCAGTTGAGCTGGATTGTAGAACTCAATGCCTCATAAGCTATTCTTTAGAGTGGGCTGGGCAATGCTGTAATGAAGATTATGGGCAAGAAGAAAGCTAGCCCAAATATTTTTTTAATCTTTAGAATATTTTTTGGTAGACACTCCAGGGGATGGAACCAACCATGACAGCATGCAACCAAGGGAGGTAAATGGGTTAAAGAATCCATCATCACCAGTCTCATATTGGTTGTTGAAATATTTGAAGTTTTCAGCAAAACTGAAAGGAGAAGGGTCCGCTGTTGCCAAAGAGTAGCACATGAGAGATTTTCCAGTTTGAATGGCTAGTGGTGAAGTTCTACTTTGGAAATACACTTTAAGCCACATCTGGAATAACCAGAAGGGACCTTGGAACCTTGAGAATTTTGAAGTAAGCAAGTCATTCAAGCCTCTGTACAAATAAGAAAGCACGAGAGGAACCAGGGCTAAATCTCCATTTATGGCTAATGAGATTGCCACTTGAACAAAGTCTTTTGTGACTTGGCTAGATCGAACACACAATAAATGGCCAGAAAGCTAACAGATCAGGAAAGCAATGTGTTATTCTTCTTGAACTGGCCAGTTTTCTTACAATGTTTGATAAAAGGAAGGTGAGAGGAGATGAATTTCTTACTTCTAGTGTTTTTAGTAGGGAAAAGGAATTTATTAATGTAAAAGGGTGGCACTTACATCATCTCCATGGGGCTTAAAACCTGTAATGCAACAAATATCCCTCAGAGTGGGAGACATCATGCCACATTTAAGGTGAAGGGAATCAGTGGTCGAAGACCAAAAGAAGAGAACTGGAAAGAGGAGGTTCGGATCAAGTGTAATGGAAGACTTAGTGATTTGAATGATGTCAAATATGCCTTGCCTTTTCCATTGTGAAGAAATATTTTCATCTTTGGAAAAACGACTCACCCAAGAAGACCAAGATGAACGGTATGTTGGCTAATTTTTGATGTTGAAGGAGGGTTTCACCTTTTTTCCTTTCTTTGAGATAAAAGGAAATTTCGACTCAAAGGGGAGAGACGGCTTACATTGAGGGTAGAATTCGGCTAATTCAGAAGGGGCTATGTTGGTGAAAGCTGGACTCAGCCCAACTGAAGAATCTTTGAAATGAACTAGAGGCTCAAGATGAAGTCTAGCAGGGTTTAAAGACTTCAAAAGCATTTGAATATGGTGGCTATGGCTTCGGGTCTTGACTTTGGTTTCAATGGAAGGGGCTGGCAGGGATAAGCTAGTGGTTTGTTTGGAGGGTTTCTTAGGAGCCATAGTTCATGATTTTCACAGATTAAGATTTCCTTTCCTTTAGGGTTTCTGGGTGGAGAGAAAGAAAGTAAAAGAGAAAAGAAAGGGCTTTTTGTGGTTAAGTGATGAGGATGGAAGGCATATGTATATATATATAGGAACAATGAGGGAGGTATTAAAGTTCAGATACGCTTTTCGAGGATTGGTAGTTGGGGTTTTCAAAATTTAAAAGGGAAGTTTTATGGATTTTGGAAGTTGAGTGGTGTAAAGCCATAAATGGATAAGAGGTTTATGGGAATATGGAATATGTTTTTAGGAAAATGTGGCATAGGGAAAATCAAGAGACTAGTCGAATAACGTGCAGGAGATCTTTTAATGATTACGTTGAGTTTCCAAAGTCCAAGGATGTCTTTTAAGGGTGGGTAGTTGGAGGATTTCAAAATTTAAAAAGGAAAATAGCAAGGATTAGGGAAGTCTGACAGTTTTAGTGCCATAAATGAATAGGACTCCTGATGGAATACAGAATGGATGATAGATGAGATTGTTGCAGATGAAGCCGAGGGAGCAGCCATGTGTTACATAGAAGCTTTCCTTTTAATGATTATCTTGAGTTTCCAAGAGTCTAAGGACGTATTTAGAGGGGGTTTAGCTGGAATTTTGAAATTCAAAAGAAGGAAGTAGTGCGATTTTTTGGGATGTCATAAATGGATTAGATCTTGTGAGATACGGTATTTTTATAATTGGCGGCAAAAGAGATTGGTATGGGTGGAACCAAGAAGCCAACTGTATGAAAGATTGAAGGTTGGATGACCGTGATGGTTACATTGAAGATTAAGTGGGCCATGATGGCAAAAATTTAAATCCCATGCCTTGTCAACAAATTGTTCCACAAGGCATGGAATTTGGGGGGCATATGTTTACTCCATTATTTTTTGCTCAATGGAAAGAGGACAAATTGTGAGTTTTAACAAGCTTGCCATATTAGATTAATCTACTAATAGAGAAGAGGTACATGGCGAGTTCTAATGGAACTTGTCACGCCAGAGCGTAACTCTGATAAATTTCCTTTAGAATATTAAAACCATGGGGAATTGTTAATTGAAAGAAAGTGGTGAGTCCTATTAGGACTTACCAACTTTGGATATAATGTTCTAAAAGTATAGGAATGTGGCATGGAGTCACTATCATGAGTGCAACCTTATATGAATATTCAAGTCAAGATCAACCAACCAATGGCTCATTAACACGTTGATCGGTTGATCAACTATACATCAACCTTCGCAATAGCACGAATCATTGTAAAATAGGGCTATTGGTCGGGTAAGTCGAACCACTGGGACTGCGCTAGTCTATGGCAACCTAAGTGTCTAGAATTGTTCTTAGAATGATAAGGGGTTTATAGAGGGTTTTGTTTGTTTGTCACTTAAACTTAGAACTTAGAATGCATAAAATAGTAATGTTCTAGGAAGTAAAGAGATATAATACAAGTAGAGAAGCCTAAGGAAATGAATCCACTCCATCCCTAAACACATGCTAGATTAGAGCTAAATTGGGGAAACAACATAAATATGTGACCATGGAATGCTACAACCAAAATTGCTACATTCCTTCAAGAAATTCATGAAATCAATGGCAAGTATAACCTATCAAAGATTCACATGTTTGAACTACCTAAACTAGTGTATAGCCTTGGAGATGCTTACTAAGTTAGAGATTATCAAGCCTTTAATCACATGATAGGAGCACATGAAGTCAAAAGTCAAGAATAGTCCATCAAAGGAGGGTCCTAAGCTATGGAATATCAAGATTCTCATACAACATGCCAAGAAACCCATTTCACAATCTCATTTCCAATGTCACTATAGAAATGCAAGGCATACAATCATGAGAAAATATGATCTAAGACAAGATAATACATTCATCATAATCATTTATAAGAAATTAGGCTCATTACATCAAGTGTAACTCTAGATTGTGAAATAATCACATATATACATCATTTTCCCCAAAATAAACTAAGGCTAGAACATGCTTACTAGAGAGGGCTTCATCACCTCCCTAGAAGAGGGTTTAGTTACCCATGGTGGCCTTAGATTGAAGAAGAAGCTTGATCCTCATCTCCATTTTCGTGCACCCTCCTTGAAGCTTCAAGAACTCCTCCTTCCTCCTCTCTTCTCTCTCCTATATCTTGTAAAAATGTAGCTTGATCTATTGTGTGGCTCTTATCTCTCTTATCTACCACCAAAAGGCCACCAACCAACATCTCCAACCACTTCATTAAAGAGGGAAACAAAATGAAGAAACCAAGGTGCAAGTGGGCTGAAATGAGCCATTTCCGAAGGGCATTCTGCCCAAAATTCAAGCACTCTAAGCAAGGCCTCGAGCACTCGAATTTAGTGTAAAAAGCTCCATGCTTCACTTGCTCCGCCCAGACCTACTTTGGTTAAACAGCCATAACTTTACGCTCCAAACTCCGAATGATGAACCATTTGAAGATTTAGAAAGCTAATTCAGAGCTCTAAATATTTCATGTTTTGGTGGAGATCCAATTCTCAAGGATGGTTGGTCGAAAATGAAGATCAAGGCAGAATTTCATTGCTGCCAGGCAGTTCTGCGCACCTCTGGTAACAAGGCCATAACTCTCTGCTCCGAGCTCCGAATGACAAAACGTTTGAAGATTTAGAAAGCTAATTCAGAGTTCTAAATCTTTCATGTTATGAGGGAAGTCCAGTTCTCGAGTTTGGAAGGTCAAAATGGCAAGTAAAGTCCAGGTTCTACTGCTGCCAGAATTCAGTATTGGCACCTTTTGTTGCTCAAGATTCCACAAGGCCTTATTCTTGTTCCATTTTGGCCAATGAATCTGAAAATGCATAAAAACATAGAAATGAAGATAATCTACATAAATTAACATACAACGGACTTTACTAATGCAATTTAGGGCGCTTGAATATACAATATTCGGCGCTTATCACACCCCCGAACTTACATTTTGCTAGTCCCTTAGTAAAACTACAATGAAAAACTTAATGAAAAGACAACCATGGGCTTGCTACTACAAAAATATCATCCATGGTAAAATAAGATATATACATTGCTCAAAAATAACTTGAAATAGAAAAAGAGCTGGAGATGGGGTCATTGGGAAGACTACCTTGCATATATGAAGCATTGATACAAAAATTGGCTAAATACATTTCCACATACATGCATCAACATCAAAGTCTATATAAATAACTCAATTATCATCTCTTGAATGGAAATCAACTCTAGCTTCAGTGAAAGTGAATTGGATTCTCAACATGCGGCTTTTACTTTCTTTTCCAATTCCAAAGCACAAGTTTTCAAATCATTGAATTCCCCTTTAAATGAGGTCCCTAAGGCATGATTTTATTTACAAGACAACTTTTGTTGCTTGTTGACAATTTATTGTAACTCATAAGCGAAACATAGAATGGTTGTGCAATGCTGAAGTCCCTTAAGCTTTCTAACCAACTTATGTAGCAAGCGTTAGGCCAACAACTCCCAAACCAGATGGCTTTAGGGTGTTAAGTGTAGAGACACTCCAAAGGGCTTAATAGCTCAAGTTGGAAAGGCTACGAACTCTAGCGAACCATGTTTATTACAATTTTTTTGAATGACCGTGCAATGTTTAAGTCCCTTAAGCTTTCTAACCAACCCCTGTAGCAAGCGTTAGGCCAACAACTCCCAAACCAGACGGTTTTAGGGTGCTAAGTGTAGAGACACTCCTAGGGCTTAATAACTCGAGTTGGAAAGGTTACGAACGTCAACTGATCATTATTTTCTTTCTTTCTCAGTTTTTTTTTTTTTTTTTTTTTTTAGATTTTTTTTATATTTTAGATTCATGCCAAAAGTATTCATCCATTAGGTTCATCAAATCAGATTAACTAGGCCAAGGTCAAGGTCAATCAAGTTGCATGCCTCGCAGTTAAGTTTCCAATGTGCATCTGTGCATTATGAAGCTTAAAAGAGTGTCAAATCCAGCGAGAATTTAATTGAGACATTTATACAGACTAATTTGAATCTACATGATCATTTCAACTCAAATTTTTCTTTATTTTCAAAAATTTCAAGTGCTTCTATACACAAAGTTTTAAACATATGCTTCATCTCCAACAAGTGTCAAGTTATACTATCATTGCT